GTGTATGAAGCAGAATAAGGGGGTAGCCTGGAAGCAGAAGGGGCACGTACGTCGCTCGGGTTCAGCACGGCGGCGTCGTCGCGGCGGACCTCGGGAAAGGTGTAGCCCTTGTAGCTCAGCAGGCGGTGCATGTCGCGGATGAAGCCGAGGTCCTCCTTGTAGCGGCTCGTCTCGCAGATGGTACTCCTCCACTCCTCAATGGCCTCGAGGATCTTCATCTGGACGCGCGTGGCGCGCAGGGGCGGGCGTTCGGGGAAGCGGCGGACGAGCTCGTTGAGGAACTCCTTGGTGCTGATCTGCAGGTGGAAGGGGTAGCCGCAGTTCTTGACGCAAATGTCGAGCAGGTGGAGGGCGAGCAGGGCGACGCTGGGGTTGCGGTGGTTGATGTAGCTGACGATGGAGACGACGGCCTCGCGCGGGGCCGAGCCCTTTTTCGAGTTGATGAGGTCGGCAATCTCGAGGTTCAGCGCGAGGTTCGGCTCGTAGTTCTCCGGGCTGCAGGCGCCCTGGATGAAGCGCTGGAGCTGCGAGGGCGTCGGGCGGCCGAGCTCGCCCCATCGGTCTCGCGCCGCCGCCCGCGATGATGCGGCCTCCATCGTGGGGTTGGCTGGGTCTGGCTGTGTATGGGTCGGAGATCGTGGCCTGCGAGGTGGCAGCAGAGGATGAAGAGAGAGAGAGAGAGAGAGAGAGAGAGAGAGAGAGACAGGTGGAGGCGAGGATGCCGGCTCGAGCGGCGGCGACTATGCTGGGTGTCGACGGCGGATGAGATCGATCAAAGACGATAAGTGGCCAGAAAAAGTAGCGCGAGGATTGGACGCTGCAGATGCTGGTGTAGACGCGAGCGAAGGCATAAGGTGGCAGAGAGTGGGCGTGGCGTGGGCAATGGATGCTGGCCGCTCGGCATCGAGGGGTTACATGATAGCCTGGCCGCTTAGGCTTCGGTGTGCAGTGCTGTCCCTGGAGCTTGGAGCGCGCCGAGCTGGTGCTCTCCGCTGTTTAGTTGCATAGCGGCTGCATACACCGGGATGAGCTCTCTATGGGGAAGTACCTTGCTTACTTACCTACCAGGTACCTAGCTAGAGACCTAGGTAGGCAGGCTGGCAGGCTGCAGGCTGCAGGCTTGGAAGGCTGCCGACCGCCCGTCTAAAGCGGCGAGGCCTCAAACCCTGGAGGGGCATTCACTACCCCGCCACGCCAGGGAAGAAGTTACTTCCTCGAGAGCCTAAATTTCACTGACTCTGTTGCATTTTCAGATCCTCTCGATTTCTGACCCAACCTCACCCCAACTGTCGCTTTCCACGCTGACTCGACCCATCTCTCCCTCGGCCTCTCATCCTCTCAACATCTCAACCTCTCGACCTCCCTCTCGTCCCTCTCCACTGACCATGGTCCGCCACAAGAAGGACAAGTTCTCCTCGCGCGGCCGCCCCCACGGACCCCCCCGAAACCGACCCCGCGGCGACAACCTCGACGGCGAAGACGACGGCTCGACCCCGGCGCGCCCGACCTTCAAAGCCGCCTGCTGGGACCTCGGCCACTGCGACCCGAAACGCTGCTCCGGCAAGCGCCTCATCCGCCAGGGCCTCATGCGCGACCTGCACCTCGGCCAGCGCTTCAACGGCGTCATCATCACGCCCAACGGCAAGCAGGTCGTCTCCCCCCGCGACAGCGAGCTGCTGCACGCCTACGGCGCCGCCGTCGTCGAGTGCAGCTGGGCCCGCACCCAGGAGGTCCAGTGGAGCAAGGTCGGCGGCAAGTGCGAGCGCCTGCTGCCCTACCTCGTCGCCGCCAACACGGTCAACTACGGCAAGCCGTGGCGTCTCAACTGCGCCGAGGCCCTGGCCGCCGCCTTTTACATCTGCGGCAAGCCCGACTGGGCCGAGCAGGTCCTCGCGCCCTTCTCCTACGGCGCCTCCTTTCTGGAGATCAACGGCAGTCTGCTGAAACGGTATGCCGCCTGCGAGGACGAGCGTGCCATGAAGCAGGTCGAGGAAGACTGGATGGCGAGGCTGGAGAAGGAGTACGCCGACAGCCGTGAGGAGGGGGACGATATCTGGGCCGGCGGCAACGTCAACCGTCGGGCGCTCATTCCTTCGGATGACGAGGAGGAGGAGGACGACGACGATGATGATGAGTCGGGTGACGGCAAGAAGAGGGCAGATGATGATGACGACGACGACGACGAGAGTGTGGATGGCATACATCTGGGCAACAATGGCGCGACGAAACCTGTGAAGAAGAACAAGGCAAACCTGGAAGACGACGACGAGGACGACGACGAGGAAGAGAGGGATCCCTACGCCTTGTCAGACGACAGCGACGAAGATGCAGCCATGGAGGAGATTCGGCGCAAGGTCCTCGCCTCCAAAACATTCGCCAATCCCCAGGCATCCGAAAAGAAGAAACCGGAAACGATCGCGAGGCCGCAGCAGCTGAAACCCGATTCAGACGTCGAGCCGGACAGCGACAATGGCGAGGACGACGACGACTTTGACAACATTATCAACGCGACGCCTGTCACAGATAGGATAGGGCTCGCCAAGTTGGAGAAGGAACGGTCACAGGCCACTGTGACGAGTAGGACGTACTCAACAAACGTGACATCAGCGCCGGGCAGGTGGTAGTTCAATACATGTGTTGAAGATGCTTGCTCAGCATGTGCATACCAGTGGATTTCTCTTGGTGCCGAGAGCAGTCGTCCCTTTGGGGTTCTGGCAAGATGACGGCGTTGTTCTTCTGGGTCTTTTCAGACCGTGTTGCCCAAAGACTGAATCAAGTTCGCGCCAAGGTCATTTCACGCTGCACAGAACAGGCCGACTGCTAGAATGGTCTGGCATGTGCCATGCCTGTTTAGCCGTCCTGCTCTTGATTCAAGGGTTCCTACTTCGTCAGGAGCCGTGGGCGAACAACGGCCAGGCTGAGACGCAAACGGTGAAACTGACAACCAGTATGTATTCAATCACAGAAGTGAAGAGCCACAACGGCATAACTTTCAGGAACACAGATATGGTGCGCAACCGTTTACTGTTCGCGGCAGATGCAAGGTCATCAAAGCCCCTGTTGTGATTGACATGCTCTCTCCGTCAACCAGGTCCATGGCCTCGAAGCTCGTAAGCTTGTTTCGACGAGACGACCCAACGCCTGGAATGCCGAACTGTTCAACTGTACGAACAGCAAGCCAAAACATGGCAGGAAGTGACTTCAAGTTCGTTTCTCAGGACACAGCCTTCTCGGTAGATTGTCTTCAATATCAATTCAAACCGAGGCAGTCTTACGAAGAATGCCCTGTGGCAAATATACACTGAGCTCAACGCGTAATGTTCGAGCTATAAATAATGAGACCACATGTGTATGACTACTTTCCATAATGCAGCTGGTGTTTCGCCACGGTATACTCGACTGTCGTAACAAGACGTGGCTGGGCAACCGAGGTCAGTACATCACCCGGCCGGGGTCACATCCATGAGGAAGCCTGGCCGGGCCACAACACGGTCCAGTGAATGTGGCCTCACCAGTGTTGCCCGTGAATGCCACACCTTGTTGGCCCCAAGGCAACAACCTTTATAGGCCTCCAACCAGTGTCTTCCCACCGCCGGAACCGCGAGGATGGCCACATGGCCGAGCGGTAAGGCTTTAAGAGCATCCAAACTGCAGGCAACATATAAGGCACCCTGGCAACAAACTACTTATGGCAAAAAAGAAGGGGGCAGGTTCGAATCCTGAGAGAAGTAGATGTCCTACGCGGCATCGAACTCTTTTTGCTGTTTTCCCATGCACCATGCAATGAATGAAATGCGTTTGAAGTTCTTTTTCTCAATCAATTCTCTTGGTATCATGCAGTTTCAGGACTTTATTGTTTGTTTTGCACCGCCAATGCAAAACATCTCGACATGTTTGCGGTCTTCATTCTTGGTGTTTTCGAGTGACGTCGGCCTTGTGTGGGTCGCCACTTTAGACCCCTGCTTCTGCATTCGGCATCCTGCCTCAACTTCAGACACCTTTTCTACCTTGCCAATTGGCAACCTCAATTTGCTGGGCGTATTTCCAGGACAACGCTCCCACGATCGCACAGCAATGGGCTCCGACGAAGGCTCCCGCGAGCGTCCTGCAAGAAGCAGCCGCCACCGCGACGAGGGCGACGACCGGCCGCGAAAATCAGACCGAGACGCGCACCGCAGGCGAAGCAGAGACCGCGACTCGGACCGGCGCAGGGATCGCTCGCGATCGAGAGAACCGAGGAGGAAAGAGAGACGCCGCTCACACACGCCCGACTCGTCACGCCGCCACCGTGACCGCCACCGCGACGGCGACAGCGACAGGCGGCGCGACCGAGACGCAGACCGCGGCGACCGACACCGAAGACGCAGATCCCCAGACGACGCCGCCGGCAGCCAGTCCAAGAGCGAATCCGACCGGCACACGAAGCGCCGCGCCTCGCCCTCGCCGCCTCCGCCTGAACCGCTGCGCCGCCGGGGCCCCCTGCCGTCGCAGACCGACTCGTTCGCCGTGACGACGGGCGAGGAGGCGCCGCAGCCCAAGGAGCAGCCCAACTTTGGCAACAGCGGCGCGCTGGCGGCGGCGTCCAACTCGGTGCAGCAGGCGGACGGCACGTCGATCGTGCTCAAGTACCACGAGCCGCCCGAGGCGCGCAAGCCGCCGGCCAAGGACGACTGGAAGCTGTTCGTCTTCAAGGGCCAGGATGTGCTCGATACGATCGGCCTCAGCGCGCGGAGCTGCTGGCTCGTCGGCCGGGAGATGGCGGTTGTGGACCTGGCGGCCGAGCACCCGAGCGTCAGCAAGCAGCACGCTGCCATACAGTTTCGCTTTGTGGAGAAGAGGAACGAGTTTGGAGACCGCATAGGCAGGGTCAAGCCGTACTTGATCGACCTCGAGAGTGCCAATGGCACGGAGCTCAATGGGAAGAAGGTCGCCGAGAGCCGGTACGTTGAGCTGAGGCACAAGGATATGGTCAAGTTTGGGCACAGCACGAGGGAGTACGTGATCATGCTGGCGCCGAAGTGAGGGTCAAGCATGGTAGCTTGCTATCCCTGTTGTAGCACGTATAATTGGAATCAACGATACCCTGCAGTCGCATGGTACATTTGGCTGTGAATGGATTGGACAAGCCGATTGCAATATTGGCTCGATGAAGACTCGCTATGGCCTATACACGATCCTTGGGCGCTTGGTGCTTGGCTGTCCTGCAGAATCGATGGCTTTGTTCTCAAACATAAGACGTCTGCAACACAGAGCAGTGGGTACGAGCACTACTATTGCGAAGTTTGTGTGTAGATGCCAACACGCTGAACAGCGCCAATGGCATACTGGCCCTTAGGATCAGTTCTCTCTGGCCGACACAGTGACCATGGAATCGCGATATGCCGCCAGTGTATAAGAGTCAACTGCCCAGGTCTGCTCTAACTCCTCTCTGCAACATGCTTCACACTCATCAGGCTGTCTCTACACGAAGCAACCACACAAGCAGGTACGTGCCACTCCCCCCAGACTAACATACTTGGCAGGTTTGAATGTCTTCAAGATGTTGAACATCATATCTCCCCTCATGACGCTGGCCGCCATCCTCGCGCTCTTTCCCCAAACTCAAGGTTTTGTGATCCCCGGCTTCCTCAACCTCACCAGCCTTGCCCCTGTCCCTACGCAGGTATTGACCATTTTGCCCTACCCCAAGCACACGACAACCACGTCGATTCAGCCGCGGGGTTTCACTATCCTGCCTTATCCCCTGCATCCCACAACCAGCAAAACGGCGACCTTCATGACGCAAACGATTCCCATGTCGCAAGGCGCAACCGTGACCCCGACGCTCCCATTCATAGCCGTCCCCCGCCAAGCCGCAGATGTCGATCCCACAACCCCCATCTCCTGGCACGAAGACAGCCACCACAAGAACATCTACGGCCCTTCCTCCATCGTCACGCACACGTCAAGCCTCTCCCCGTTCGCAGCCGATTGTCTCGCCCTGGCCTCCACCCTGCGTGAGGAAAAGGGCTACTTTGTCGCCCGCGGCTTCACCGACACGACGACCCTCGTCGGCATCGCAACGGAAGGGAGCTGCATCTTCGGCGTCAGGCCCGCGACGCTGCTGAGCTTCCACGAGGTGATCGGTGCCATGGATGCTGTCGCGTTTCTTGAGGAGGCCGTGAGGAACTTCTCGTCGCCTGCGGGCGGCGCGACGGCCGTGAATGGGTCGTGGGTTGGCGGCGGACTTGTGGGCGCCAGCGGCAAGACGAAGTGCGAGCTCGGCAGCGGCGGGAAGCAGCAGCTGGTTTGGGGCATCTATGCTGCTGGACAGGAGTGGGATGTAGGGCACGTGGACGTGCCTGTTGACGTGCCGGGCGCGGGCTGCGCGATGAAGATGGGCCGTTGGGGTGTTGCTGCGATGCTGGCGTCGCTGGCGGTGTATTTTTGGGCATTGGAGGACAAGTCGTGGGCAAGTCAAGGATGAAACGAGCTGTGCGACATCAATGGAAAAGTCAGCTACTGACGAGTTCTATGGCAGTATGCCAGATTGTTCCTTGAGCTCTGGTCGGAACGGTGGATGTTGCTAGCCTAGCTTCTATTTCCAGCGATTGCAACATGTGGCAATGCCCAACATGCAAGATGACAAGCATACGTAAACAAAACAAATTACTGCCTTAACTCCTCGTCGCATTGGTGCTCATACCATGAAACCCACAGGTCTCTACCCGTCCCTTCCTCGACTGTCAAATGTC